CGCTTTTTATGTCCATTTTAGGCTCTAAAATTATTCGATGAGTTGGTGAATGATTTTTCCCCGTGTTTTCAATTTTGTAGGAAAGAAGAGAAATTTCCTTGTGCAGTGGTTCAAAAAGGAAACCAACTCAAACTGGTTTTGTGATGGAGGGTGAGTCTCATAAAGAAGATATGCTTCCTCAAAAGTTCTCTGTTTTGCTCGAGTTCTCGGCTTCAAATGATCTGATTGGCTTTAAGAGTGCTATTGAGGAAGAGGGTCATGATATTGATGAGCCAAGCCTGTGGTATGGAAGGAGAATAGGCTCAAAGAAGATGGGGTTTGAAGAAAGAACACCCCTTTTAATTGCTTGCATGTTCGGGAGCAAGGATGTAGTCAATTATATTATTGGAAGTGGCTGTGTGGATGTTAACAGGGCTTGTGGTTCAGATGGGGCCACGGCTCTCCACTGTGCTGCTGCTGGTGGCTCCTTTGATTCAGCTGAGGTTGTCAAGATCTTGCTTGATGCCTCTGCTGATATCAATTCTGTTGATGCTAATGGAAACCGGCCTGGTGAGTTGATTACACCAGCTTGTAATTCAGCTTTCAGCTTGAGGAAGAAGATGTTGGAAGCTTTGTTGAGAGGAAGTGGTAGTGTTGGTGAAATGGAGGCTTTGCCTGCTCAAAATGGAAATGAAATGGAAGGGCAAGAGCAGCAAGATAACTCAATAGCCCGGGTTTTGAAAGATGGAACTGAGAAGAAAGAGTATCCTGTTGATCTTACTCTTCCAGACATTAAGAATGGGATATATGGGACAGATGAGTTTAGGATGTATACTTTCAAGGTCAAGCCTTGCTCAAGGGCTTACTCTCATGACTGGACTGAGTGCCCCTTTGTTCATCCTGGGGAGAATGCGAGGAGGCGTGACCCTAGGAAATACCATTATAGCTGTGTTCCTTGCCCTGAGTTTCGTAAGGGATCATGCAGGCAGGGTGATAACTGTGAGTATGCACATGGTATATTTGAGTGCTGGCTTCATCCTGCCCAGTATCGAACTCGTCTCTGCAAGGACGAGACTAATTGTAGCAGGAGGGTCTGTTTCTTTGCCCACAAGCCAGAGGAGCTTCGTCCCTTGTATGCTTCAACAGGTTCGGCAGTACCTTCCCCTAGATCATATGCAGCTACTGGTTCCTCTCTGGACATGGGTTCAATGAGCCCACTTGCTCTTGGCTCTACATCTGTTATGATACCTCCAACATCGACACCACCCTTGACTCCTACTGGTACCTCTTCTCCTATGGGTGGAGCGATGTGGCCAACCCAGTCAAACATCATACCTCCTACCTTGCAGCTTCCTGGAAGTAGGTTGAAAACTGCACTAAGTGCTAGGGATATGGATTTAGACATGGAACTACTTGGGCTGGAAAGCCATCGTCGCCGCCAGCAGCAGCAGCTAATTGATGAGATATCTGGTCTTTCCTCCCCAACCAGTTGGAAGAATCCCTTGTCTTCTGCCTCAGCTTTTTCTGCCTCTGGTGATCGAACTGGGGAATTAAATAGGTTTGGAGGGGTGAAGCCCACTAACCTTGAAGATATTTTTGGATCTCTTGATGCTACTATTTTGCCGCAATTACAAGGAATCTCTCTCGATGCCACAGCTCCTCAGCTGCAGTCTCCCACTGGAGTTCAGATGCGCCAGAATATAAACCAGCAGCTTCGTGCTAGCTACCCAACCAACCTAGCATCCTCTCCTGTGAGGGCATCTCCATCCTTTGGGATTGATGCATCATCTGGGCCCACTGCAGCAGCAGTTTTAAGTTCAAGGTCAGCTGCCTTTGCAAAGCGGAGCCAGAGCTTTATTGATCGTACTGCTGTAAATCGTCATTCAGGGTTTTCTTCACCAACTTCTTCAGCAAGTGCAATGCATTCTAACCTTTCAGATTGGGGTTCCCCTGATGGCAAATTAGACTGGGGTATACAGGGAGAAGAGCTAAGTAAACTAAGAAAATCTGCTTCTTTTGGGTTCCGAAGCAGTGGGAGCAATTTGGCAAATGCAGCACCCTCAATGTTGCCAACTGCTGATGAGCCAGATGTGTCTTGGGTCCAGTCTTTGGTGAAGGACACCCCTTCTGCTGGGCAATTGGGCTTTGACGAGGAGCAGCAGCAGCAGCAGTGTCATCTTAACTCTGGGGGTGCTGAGATGCTCCCTGCCTGGGTGGAGCAATTGTACATGGAGCAGGAGCAGATGGTGGCCTAAAAGCAAAGCTAGCCCCACCATTAGCTCCTCCGTTAACCTTTAACTAGTTCTTGTTTTCCGCCATTTTTTGAATTTTTATCAATATTCATCATTTGTAATTGGAATGAAATGGGGAAGGGGAAAATTGATTGCCCCCTTAGGAGAACCCAAGGTGAGCAGAAGGAAAGATATCTGCTAACACTGCTCTTAGGTCCGAAGAATAATATCTGTTATTCTTTTTAGTTACTAGATTTGGTTTTTGTGTTGGATGAGAGTTCCATGTACATCCAAGTAGAAACATGATTTGCGGTGAGGGTAGCAAGGCGGATGTTCAACTAGTCAAATTTCCAGAGTTACGTTCATTTCAATTAGCAAATGGAAGCAGCCGTACTAATTTTTTGGTTTATTGTCAATTGGTGGGGGTTGTACACATTTTATGTACGAGAAACTATCGCATTTATTTGATTAATATATATATTTTTTCAGTGAAAACTTGCTCGTTCGCTTACCTGTTCTGATTTTGATCGAATCATAACGCTTTTCTATACTGTAATCGGAAAAAGCAGATGGCTTTTTTTATTCTTTCCATTGCTCGTTACCACCAGAGAGCTGGAATGCAAATTAAACCCAACATTCTATTTCTAGCTGGGAAGAAATGGAAATATGGATGTTAACATCCAGCTTCTGCACTCTTTTAAATACCATAAGCCTCAAGAGTTCAACATCTTTACGCAAAGCACAAGAATGGATGGATCTTTTGATGTGATTCCCCACTGTAATCCTTCTTTTTATCTCTTTACAGTGTCATTTACCTATCAACTTTTTTGAATGCTGCATCTGACTTTCGGCATTCAAAAGGTGAAGGCTCATTGGTTCCATGATTCTAAGTGGATGTGATTGTTGAGCACTAACAAAAAGGTAGTCCTGCTAGTGTTAGCTTATTTGTGTCTTTAGATTAACTTTTCTTATTGGGTAAACTTGGCAGTGGGATGGGCACTAGAAGCCTGGAAGAATGAACCACAGTTTCAAGGCTTGTCATTTTAGACAATGAACCAACGAATTTTTTTTTTGCTTCTTATCAGCAAAAGACAAGAATGTTGTTGTGAATGTTCAATAAGGTTTCTTGGAGATGCAGAAACAGAAATTGTAAATTATATCTTCATCCAGGTTAGGCCACTCCTTGGACTAAACTTCTGCCGCCGATGTTGTTTGCTTGTCTTGGGATTGTTTTATCTTGTTGTGGGAGATTTTAGTGTCATAGTCCTCACATAGACGTAAATTTTACATTATCAAAAAAATGTTTTCAGCATATTGAATTATAAAGTTTTACATCGAAAAGAAACTTTTTACGATAATTAAAAAAAGATATCATGATTCTAAAGAGAAAGTATCAGTTGAAAATAAAGAAGAATGTCGTAGTTTTAAAAGAAAGCCATAAATTTCATATCAGTTATATGTATTAGAGTGATATAGAAAATATAAGGGTTTACATTATCCTTAATTTGTGAGACGGTTTTTGTAAGATAAATCGTGAGGTCAACAAACTAAAGCGGACAATACCTCATAAGGGTTAGTGTGGACCGTAATAATTGTGTGATAATTGGTATCAAAATAGATTCTAAATATTAGCAATGTGCCGATAATAGGTATTTTGTTGAAATGGAAAAGGATGTCACAGTTCTTGCGTAGACGTGAATCCCACATCATCGAGATAATGCTCTCAGCAAGTTGAGTTACATAATCCCACATCAAAAACAAAATCTCACATCGAAAATGTCATAGTCTTTGAAAGGAACTCCCACCATTTTAATTGGTGTGTAACGTGACACTAGGCATTGATCAGGACAAAATTTTCAATTTAAAAGAAAACAATAGAGCATTGCTTTCAAGTTTGCCGTATGGAAATATTCAACAAAGGACAAATCAAAGTCTGACTTGGTATCCTGATTGAATGTGTTGCTTAATGGCTTGCTTCACAAGGAGGAGAGCTTGAATAAACAAAGAAGACTTTCTGCAGATCCAATTAAGATATTGTCTCTGGTTCCTACGTGAGACTAGGTTAACAAAATAGCTACACTTTGTTCTATAATTTGAGATCAAAATATTTCATTCTTGATACCTTAAAGATAAAAAAAAAAAGTGAATAACGATCTGTACAAGTATTCATTATTAAATGACTTAGTAGCTAACCTAGTTTTATAATGAAATTTGCAAGCAAAGATCAATTAGGCAAGCCCCATTGTGGTCCTTGTAGTGTTCCAATCATGAATTTTGTCCATCTTTTATTATATTTGAGTTTCCCATGAAGATATTCATTGGATGATTGTACCATGAATGAAGATTCATAAATTGTTGAAGATAGCACATGGTTTGGCTGGAATTTAGATTCTTCTTGTCCTTTCTAGAGCAGTGAAGGTTCTTCTAGTACATGAATCTTTTCTTTTTCCCATTTTTACCCACCTCAACCTATTCACTTTATCCACTCAAGGATTTTGACAACTTCCAACTAATTTATTAGCATTAATTATTATTGTCAGGAAATTAGAATGAGGTTTTTGCTGTCAGCCACATCTTAAACTTTTTGGTCCAGAAGACAGCCAGAACTACAGCGATGGTAATCCAGTTTTCTCCACTTGACAGGTCTTGCTTGTTATACAGGCAAGAGTATGGTGAAGAAAAAAAATCCAGCCACATCCTTAACTGAAGCTACATAATCCTTTAATTTAAAAGAATTTAAATTTTAAACTATATTTAGTTGATAAAGGGGAGCAAGACTTGACAGAAAACATTTTGAAATTAGATACTGGAAGTACTATTTATCTTTGACTATAGGTTTCTGCAATGACAAAATTTGCAAAGGGGCTTTACTGCTATACTTTTACAAGTTCAAATTCTTCATGGGAGAGATCCCAAAGGTTAAAATTACCAGCTCATCTAACAATTGGTCTAGAATTTTTGACCCAAAATCTGCAGTAATATCTTCAAGATCTTCATTCTTTGAGCATGACCAACTTGATTTAGCCACCTCAGCTTCAGTCATCCTGCAAATTGCATCCCAACATTCCAAGTTTATCTCACTGTGGCAATCTTTTCTCCTTGACCCCAAACTTTTGCCTTCAACATTTTTTACCCTTAGCTCATTTTCCATCATATTACCATCATTGCTAGGAGATTTGCACCCATAATTTTCCAGGTCTGGTGATAATATCCTTCTTGAGTTAGACCCATCTGCTTTTGAATCTTCCTCTGTTACAAACAATTCACATTCAGTTTAAAGGGTGAATAAAATAACTTTCTATTAAGTGATGAACAGAATTGGGAGCAACCAACCTGATGTAGGAACATCATGATCAATGATGAATTGGTCAAAATCAAGAACAGAAACCGGGCTGGAATCTTCTGAGCTACATTCAGTCTCTACATTTTCAGCTACACGATGCAGTGTTTTCTTCTTTTTCTTCCTCAATTTTGCTCCATCAGGCACTCCTTTCTTGTCCACAAGTTTTGAGCACTCTGGACCCCTAATGCTGACAATTGGCTTCTCCAAGTGGACACCATTAACTTCGTTGCAGTTGGCTACTTCCTGATTAAGCTTATCAACAATTCTTCTGTTCAGCTTTTCCTCATTCAACACATTTAATACCCTTTTGCTAGCCTCTTGCTGATTTCCCTTATTCTGTTCCTCTTTTACCTTCTCCACTCTGTTTTCCTTCTCCTTATGTTTCTCTTCTTTTCTTTGCTTCAATTCTCCACTCCCCCCTCTACATTTTCTTCGCTTGGATCGTAGCTCTTCCCTTTCACTTTCCTTCTCGAAGCTGAGCACAAAATATTCTTCATTTCCAAGCTCGAAGTAGGGAGGCATATCGCGGAACGACAATGTAGAGTTTACTCTTCTATGCTTGGCATGGATTGAATCAGTATCTTGCTTATAATCTGCTGAATTCATAGACCGGCTTCTTGTAATTGAATTTGGATTTACTCGTGTCTTAAGTAAGCTGATTTCAGGCAAGGAATCCAAGCCCATTAGTCTTGCTACAATCCCTGGAGTGACCTTGGAAGCATCAACCTTGTCCGCAGCATTGAATTGTTGGTTCTTGTAACTAGCCACCGAATTAGCCTCAGTAATGTGATCAGAAGGGTGTGTTGGGAGACTCCGAGAGCAAAGAATTCGACGTAGGATCCCTGCAAGGCAACCAGCAGATGCACTCTTTGAAGTGCACAGTTTGGGATCAAAAGAGACAGTTGAAGAAGAAGAAGAAATGGAAGGAGAAGAAGATAACAACTTCATGTTGGCAAAAAGGAAGCAAAACAACCACAGGAAAAATAGTGCAAGAAATGGGTTCTGTGAGTAACTTCAGCTTACAACTTTGCAAAAAGGAATGGATTCCAAAGGACCCCAAAAGCATAAAAATTTGAATGCCTGGGAGGGTGATGGTGAAAGAGGGGAAAAGGGTAGTTAGAAAGAGAGAGAGATGGCGGGATTTGCATTTGAAAGTAGGGGGAGGATAGGGATTGGGCAAAGCTGGTAGCCATTTCAGGAATATGTTTGCACGCGCTATGAGGAGTCTATTTTCTTATCATTTTCTTGTCTACTTGTCTTTGCATTATAATGGGGCTGGTTAGCCTTCTCCTTGCGCCTGGGGGAATTTGTTTACTATTAGTATCTCTTATCAATATCTAATCAAATACTTATTTCATAATTTATTAATTTATTTTTTTTCCATTTTTATTAAATTAATCAAATATTCATTAATTTTTATTTATCTATTTTCTATTAATCTTGAACTCTCTATTAAAATAAATTGTTCATAGCTGGAAGCATGGGCTGTGTATTCATCAGGAGGGTACGCATGGTTTAAAGTTGGTTGATGGCCTAAGTATCTATGTTCCTTCTATATATATAATTATTTTAAATTAATTAATTTTACTCTATTATTATTTATAATTTAATTGGTTAATAATTTAAATTAATTTTTAATTTCTACTATAAATATTTTTGTTTTCAAGATTAATATGTTTTCTTCTTTCTCTTTTTATGATCTCAAAATTTATTAATTAAGATTCACTTGATTATAATATATTATATTCTATAAAGAAAATTTATTTTAGATATAAAAATTTATATAATTTTAGTATTTTTCACGAGAGTACAATTTACTTACATATATTTTATGTTTTTATGCTATTAAATGCTAATTAATTGTGGATTGAATAAATCATGATCTATTAATTTATTATTTTATTATTATAATTATGATATTTATATATTAAATTATTCACATACGTCTAGTAAAAGCTATTAATAAAAAATAAAAGTAGTATTTAGATTTTTGATTTGTATTTTAATGTATTGAGACTTAAAAAGTAACCTATGTATAATTTATAATTTGATAAGTCATATAATAAAATGCACGACAGCTGGATTAATTATAAAAAGTAAGAAATTTATGAATAATTAATCAGAGAGAACTTAAAGAAAATATGAATATTTTTTAACGGAGAGGTTGAGCCATGGAGGTGGGGGTGGGAGACAAATGGGAAAGCGAGACAGTGAGTCAGGAGTGTGGGGCTGTGGACATTCTTTGGGGTTTGGAGCCGAAGATGCTGACTTTCCCGACTACAATGTCGGCCTTTCAAACTTTGGCCACTGCTTCAGACCCAAATCTGTTGCTTTTTCTCTCTTTGGAATTTCAAATTTTCAGGAATGGGACTAGATGGGGCACATGGGCGCCGACCTTAACACATTCCTTGTTTGAGTCTGCGATTTGTTTTTTTTAAAAAAAAATTAATTTAGATGTGGTTAATTACAATAACTTAAACGCTCTCACTAGCTGCTGCCTGTTCGATGTGAGCCGTCAAGCCAAAGCCACGGGCTCAAGTTTTTGTTTATTTTGGGTCGGGCTGCATTGACCTACGTCTATTTTGGGCCGCTTTTCTTCAGGGTACAGGGACCAGCCCATCATTGGAATGAGGCAAGCCGAGAAAGGAAAAGAAAAACTTACTAATATTATCGATTTATATTCAATGAGGAAAGTAACCGAAACAGATGCGGGATTTGAGGGAAGAGATGATGGATGACATTGGTATTGTTGAATAAACCATAATCCCTGTCAACTGTTGTAAGCCCTCCCCCATTCCTGTCAAATGCAGAACAAAAACCTGAGTGATTAATTCATTTGCATTGGATGGCAAAATCCCCAGTCAAGTTGAAGAAAATTGTACCGCCCACTGCAGCATTCAAAGTGAATTCAAGTGTATATTACCAGCGAAGTTTCTGCTCACGGCCATGGTGATGTAGGTAGGTCACTCAATCCAGCCATACCAAGCAAATCTACGAAATGGTACATCATTTCCAAATATATACTAAATTACTATCCGAACAGTTCTACAGTTGGAAGTGCACGGTAAGCTAATTGATACATAGACAACTAATTAGGTCATAGGAACATTGCATTGAATAATTTGGCAATTGACCCATCACATGAAGTTTTAGATTATTCTCAAGGTTCTTTATGCTAGAGCCTGGGTAGAGGGAGATTCAAGAAGAAAAGAAAAGAAAAGAAAGGAAAGGAAGCATTTACTTTGACAGTATTTGATTATCATTTATAATGATATGCCAATATCAACGTCAAGTAATATAAATAAGTGATATTTTGATTAAATTACTAATTGATTCTAAAAACTTATTTAATTCAAAATAAAAACTTACGATCTTGATTGAATGTAATAAACGAAAAAGAGTTTTTTTAATTTTAATATAAAGTTTTATGGTTAAATAATTGAAATTTTATAATATTAATTTATAAATTATTTAATATTATTTAAGATTGGAAAATTATTTTCTAAGAAAAGTCTTTCAACACAATTAAAATTCTTATCAAATTGGATAAATCTTATGAATATTTATAATAAAAAATAATTTTAATAAAAATCATTCAATGCAATTAAAATTCTTATTTACAATTAATAAATATTATAAATATTTTAATAAAAGTCATTTGATGTAATTAGAATTTTTTATTTTCATCTCGAATAAATCTTATTAATATAATGAATATATGAAATTTTGTAATATTAATCTATAAAGTATTCAATATTATTACAATTATTGGAAATGATTGTGTTGCAAACTGAGAATGTTAAATTTATTGGAAATGATAAGAACAAAGCTCCAAGTCTTAATTGTGCCACATGTAATTTGGTGCTGAAATAGCTGAAAGAACAATAACAATCCTTCTTCAGCTATGTCCTAGAAGTATCATCCAGATTTGCCAGGGGAAAGTAACTGAAACAGCTGTGGATCAGTCTGATAGAATACTATATCCCCAGTGTTGCTAACATAATGATCTTGTCTAAGGCTTGTGACTAGATCCTTTATTAAGTGAAATGGAATAGGCCCAGATTTCTTTGGCTCCCGATGGTATTTTCCAATCACTGCTTTAGCAGCTTTCGTCTGCAAGCCAAAAGCATCGAACCATTAGGATCAACTCAAACAGATGAAAGACTTTGTCTTGTTTAATCGTTCTGTTTGATGAAATTAATAAAGAACATACCGCTTCTACCAAGTGATAATGAGGGATTTGAGGGAAGAGATGGTGGATGACATGGGTGCCAATGTCATGGTGGATATTGTTGAATAAACCATAATCCCTGTCAACTGTTGTGAGCCCTCCTCTGAGGTAACTCCATTCCTGTCAGGTACAGAACAAAACCCTGAGTAATGAATTCTTTTGCATTGGGTGGTAAAATCCCCTGCCAAGTTGAAGAAAATTTTACAGCCGAATGCAGCATTCAAAGTGAATTGAAGTGTATTTAGGTAGGCTATGCCCTCACCTTGCCACGGTACCAAGGAAGTTTCTGCTCATGACCATGGTGATGTAGGTAGGTCACTAAGTCCAGCCATACCACGAAAATCTACGAAATGGTAGACCATTTCCAAATATGGTAAATTACTATCAGAGCAATTCCATACTTATAAATCTAGAAACATGAGGAGTAAGGTAGACCTACTGAGTAGGGAACACCATAGAGCTTAAACATCTGGGCTGGACCTATTGCAGAGGATAAATAGGCAAGCAAAATAACCATCACAGTCCAACAAGCGGTTGAAGTCATTACAAGCTTCCTCTCTCGAGGGGTGAACAAGTTGCTGTAAGGGTTGAAGTGAGATCCTTCCTTGCCTGGACTTCTATACCACTGTAATGAAACAGGGCAAAGATAGGGAATTCAACTCCTTATGGCACAATGTTAATTTTTTCATATAAATTCAATCAAAACAAGCTTTCTCACCAAATATAGAGGGTATGCAAAAAGGGGGAAGGGGACAGTGAATCTCAGAAATCGCGTGCTGATGTCTAAATTCTTGTAAATATTCTCAGGGAGCTGAGATTAAAAAAGAGAGCGTGAAGGGTCAGTTTCGAATGTTATCCTTGTAAAGAGACCTTGAAACAAACACACAAACTTTTGCACGGAACAGAAGCAAAAAAGTAGAGAATGTTTCACCGGAACCCATGACTCATCCTTCTCCACATTTCCATGGTTCTGATGATGAGTTCTATGGCTTATTCTCCTGCAAGATTTTTCAAATGAAGTTATGGAATTGCATGTTACTAGATTCTCCTGCAAGATTTTCAAATGAAGTTATGGATTCCAAGTATACAAAGCACTGAGCAAATGTTGCCCAACTTACCATCCATGGTAAGGAACAAGTATTGAAGAATGTAAGATATGTCCCACTACACTGTTAAGAATGGGATCGTCCGAAAAGCTTCCGTGGCCACTGCACAATCCAAAACCAAATGGATTTAACTCTGAAATATAAACCAATGCTGAAAACATAGACGATAAAGTATAAAAAGGATTACCAATCATGTCCGAGGACAAAGATAGCCCAAAACATTGTTCCCTGTGCAACCCAGTAGAGTGGCCAAAAGAACCAACTATTCCAGTAGACTGCTGCTGCTCCTAAAGCAAAAACCACACTGACATCCCTGAAAACATAACTGATCGACCTCCAAGGATTTTTGACCCAACAGTGCCTCGGGATGGCGGCTCGGATATCAGCAATCCTGAATGGAGGAGGAGCACTCGGATCAAAATCACCTTGGTCATTGATTCCGTTAACCCCATTAACATAATCTCCTTTCCTCTCCATTGTTCCGATTGATGTATCTTGCATTGAAGGGCTCATTCTGAGTTCCCCACCCTTGTCTGCAAAACCAAGTCGAGTTTATAGAAAATCAAAAGGCTAGAACTACTATTTAGGTGCAGCAGGAGGTAAGCCAACAGGAAACCAGTAGCCAGCGATATCCCAAGTTATCTTGACTTGATCTTTGGAGCATTAATATAGCTGTCGAACTCTAAATTTACCATTTGAACCACCTAAAATAAAAAATTGCCCCAAGATTTTAATGTTTCCTTGTAGTATAAAACGGCCATAAAGTGCAAGACAAAAAGTTGGAAAAAGTAAAAGAGTGTTTTCTCTAAACAAAAAGCTAAACCTTTTGAAAGCACGGAGTTATCATTCTGCAGTTAAAAGAAAGAAAACTTATATTCCAATCACACGAACCATTCCTTTTCTACGTTGTTTCCTGTATCATTATTAGCACTAATCTATCTTCACATCTCTAAATCATATAGTAGTTCCCATATAAAACTAGGGTTACCCGTGACGTTGGATGATGGCCATACGCAAGCTTAGAGCTTTGGCGTACCAGGGAAAGGAAAGGAAATCGAGAAACTGCGTTTCTTTAATGATGGTTGTCTTTTCCAAACGAGTTATGATGGTTGTCATTTTCAAACGAGTTACTGTATCTCATAAATATTTATGTACAGACCAATCTCTTCCCTCATAGATCTCATTAAAAGCTGTAGACAACGTGCGTTTGTAAAAAGTTTTACGTTGTTCTGGTAGGGAAAAAAAGTTTTCCTTTTGAAAGATATCAGATATCCAGCAGCATCAATTTAATTTTCTTTCTTACTTTTAGCTGTATTTTAAAAGCTGAGAAAAGGGTTACACAATTAACCCTCTTTCGGAGAAAGCAAGCAATCAATGTCGCCATCCCTGCCTGCGTGGAACTGTGGTTTTGAATTCACTCTATTTCATTATCTCGTGGTGAACTTGAGAGAGCAAGAACCAAAGGAAATAACAACAGGGACTAAAGAAACAGAGGCAGAACGGCAGAGCAAACAGAGATACTGAAGCGGATGGATGTCATGTCAAATTTGATTCTACGTGGTCCGCATTTGGGCTATACTGTTAAACGAAGTGTTATTTTCAAAAACACTCCTTATATATAAGATATTTTTCAAAATAGTCTTATCTATAATTTTAATTATTTTTAATTTAAAAAATTAATTTTAAATAAATTTATTTTTAATGAAATTAATTTATATGTTTAAATCTACGTCTCAAACTGACTTATATTCTTTGAGTAGAGACATCAAAGTATGTATTTTAAGTTTTTGGGTTTATTTCGCCAAACCATCCATCTCTAAAATATTCTTTATCAGAAAAAAAAAATCGTTAAGCATTTTGAACATTTTGGAGTGATTTTTGATACATTAAAAAAACCTTTGAGTATTTTTAAGTATTTTTGAATGGTTTTTAATATATAAAGAAAAACCTTTTAGCATTTTGAGTATTATTCGTCAAGTAGACGTATTCGTTGATTATATTGTTAAATGGAATATAGTGTATTACTTGAAATTATAGATTTTGTTAAATGAAATTTAGTAATTTTAATAGTTTTTAAGCATTTTGTAACTGGTTTTTGAATATTACGTGAATAGTTTTTAAGCATTATGTTACTAATTTTTAAGCATTGTATTATAATATTTTAATTTACAGATATGTCTAACTAACTTCAATTCCTTAAATTTTGATATTCCATGAATAAACCAATAAACTCAAAAACGTAAAATATATACTTTAATATCATTTTTGCATAGTGAAATAGACAATATTTGATAAGAGAGAGAAATCGAGATTTAATTTTGAAATTTTATTTAAATGACGGAATAGAAAAAAGTGAAACTATTTTAATTTATTTAAAATTAATTAAAACGTATTGGTGTTAAGTTATGTCAAAAATTGACTAAAAACAATTAAAATTATAATGAAAACTAATTTTGAATTTAACTTATGAGAAGAGTTATTTCTCACAATTTCTTCAAAGATCAAATACTCCTCTGTATAGGCTATACTTCTTGACACATTGGCTAAGTGTCAACCACTTTCCCCCTCGAGAAAGTAATGTGCTTAACAGTAAACAAATTCATGCCTAATGAATTTGATAAGCATAAATGAGGGGAGGGTCATTAACTTATCGTATTCAATCTTGATTCATTCATCATACCTGTTTACAATTTTAGTTTCCAAGTTGTTCACTTAGCTAATCTAAATAAAGAAGTTGGAATTGAGCCACAAGTCACTCATAACTCTCTTCACATTCACATTGCAGTTGTGATCGGGTGAAATAAAAGAGAAAGGAAGATTTTTGGGGAATTTCTTTGAAAAAGTAGGACTTTTGAATCTTCTCAAAGATAATTCATTCCTGTCAGTATAATGCTATATTAAACTTTGTGGTGCAGCAAAAGTACATAAAAACTGTCAATCAATGGGGGATTGGAAATGCTGTTCAATTTAAGGAGTTGGAAAGTTTGAAAAGAATGATCTCACAAGAATAACTTACATTGCAAATTAATAAGTCAACAGTCCATTAAAATGCCTATCGATGAGATTGGAGAGGAGGAATTTTAATTAAAGCAAAGGGAATTATTGTTTGAAACGAATGATGGTCATGAAAGAATAAAAGAAAGAATAACTTGTGAACAAAGTAAACTTATTCTTTAGAGTCAGGATTCTAATTTATCGAAAATGAGGGAACAAATTCTATAGACCACTACCCAGCTTTAGCACGGTGCAAAAGGGCTGGGAAAAGAAGAAGAAGAAGAAGAGGTAAGGTTAGATCGTGTTGCATGTTATACATTTAAAATAGTTTAGAGGTTTCCTACTGAGGCCCAAAGATGCTGAAAAGATATAGAATCCACTTTACAAGGTCCGGAAACAAATAGGGTCCCTTGGGCAATTAAGCAGGAGGTTTTGAGACCTTGCTCTTAAATGTAAAAGCATGGGTTAAATGCTTTAATAAACAACATGCACATGGGAAAGCAATGCAATGGCAGCGTACCTGAAGAAGCTGTAAATGAAGTTTAAGTCTGATTCAATGCTACAAACTAAACTTGGGCTATTCTTTTCTTTTATGTAAAACTAGGCAATGGGGACGATCAAGGGGAGCATACTGTCAAAGAAGATGTAAATGCTTTGGCAAATTAACAAGTTAAATCCACATAGGAATATATATAATATGAAAGGACTAAGTCTAGACCTAGGCTAAGTTTAGTTGTTAGTTGGAAAAAGCTAGGCAATGGGGGAGATCCCCATTGAACTTGCCCTTCCTCTTAGATGCAAACCCTTTTTCACGTGTAAGAAGTAAACTGTCAAAATACAATGAACACATGGGCAAGAAAGCAAAGGTAGTTTGAAAATTTTGATTCATTGCTATAAAAGCTAATAAAGGGCTTCTCTAGATCTTTCTTTTCTTTACTTATTTAGAGTTCTTCTTAATTTTCTATGCTACTTAATCAGTAGTTTAATTTCTTAATTAATCAGCGAAGTAATTTGGATAATATTATTAGGTACAAACTGCATGATAAGTTCCGTAAATATGCTTATTAATATTCATAGTTTGACGGTTGAGAATGCAAAAAGTGTGGGGGGGACTGTAAACACTTGTTTTCTTGACCAATTTGTCCACTATTTATGATTTGCATTTTATAAGCGAAACATATTGTAAACATTTTTTGTTTGGTCGGTGGTTATATTTAATTGTCTATATCTGAAAAAAAAAAAACTAATTTTATCTTTTTTTTTATTTATTTTTTAAAAGAATTAATCTTATAGGATGTATAACGCTTATGTTTATAAATATTTTAAAATCTTTTTATCTATTTGATTTGAGATTGAAACAAACTATTTATTTGATTTTTTAAAATATGTGACGTGAGATTTTCTCTTATCTAATCTAATCACGTTTTTACGGCAATTGATCATTTTGTCCACTTTTCTATTTTCTTTTCTTTGAATGGGTACAAAGTCGTGGTTATGATGCACACGGCTTGCATAATGTCAAGACCGTAGTGGGCTCAATATTCAAACAAAGCAACGTAAATGCTGCCTATTGACATCTTGAAATCAAACGTATGAACATCAAGATCTGGGGTGCTCACAATGCAACATCATAAAACATCAATAATGCAAGCAAAAAACCAAAAAAAAAAAAAGGTTGCAAACATAAATATCATCCCCACTATGCTTAACACTCAAAAGAGTTTGATTATAACAATCATCCATTGTAAAACATTATGATTGTAAAGCCAGAAAACGTGCAAACCTAATTTTTCCCTCCCCACTAAGCTTAATTATCAAAGAGTTTGATTATAACAAAAACCCTTTTTGGCTGGATGCATGGGACTGTCGGTACGTGGAAGACAAAGAGCTTCGATTGCTCAATGGAAACACGTTTTTTGCTCATAAAATGGGGCTACTTTGAATAGAACTGTCAGGTTTAGGACAAAGAACTTTTGACTGCTCAAATGGAAAAACGTTATTTTGCTATGGTAAACCGTGGGTTACTTGGTGAATATTTTAAATTAAAATTAAATAATAATAGATGATGAAAAAAATTGGTTAACATCATTTAATATCATCAATTTTCTTTTTCTTTTTTTAATTTTTAAACATAGATTTATTATCTAATTATACTTATAAATTATGAAATTAAAACAGTAGAAGGCAGGGACAACGTACCTTTGATGAAAACAAACATAAATCGCTTTGAGGCCGGATAGTATGGCAGCCCAATGTTAATCTGTCACTGGGTGGTGCTTGCTGCATCTTGTTGGTGCTGGCAGTGAACTGGTCCTTTTTTGGGCAGTTTAGACAGTTTATGTTGCAAGTCATCTTCTCCTGCAAGTGTGGATCCATTGATATAAAGCATTTTCAGAATCCAAGTCCCAGAATTTTAGGTTGTTTAAAAAGATTTAATTTTGAGATCGCACGTTTTTTGGGTGAAAATAAACATAATGGATGACAGTGCACATAAATAGAATCATATTTGAGGAGAAAAACAGCATATGGATTGCATGCCAAATATATAACTTAACCTAGAGGGCTAATGATCTGTGAATTTGATTTAATGCTTACAGAAAAAGGTTTTCAATTGGATCAATATATATATAACAACTGTTTAAAACTACCAACAACTTCAACAAATCTTTATTGACAAAAACATGTAATGCTTTGTGAATTCGAAGTTTAAATCCTTCACCCAAACTTGACAAGAAATTTCAGAAAAATTAATTATATGGATCAAAATATAATAAAAGTCATTTGCTGTCAGTCGCCAGCCACAACATTTTCTCTTCCTTTCTATTTGTTTTCTCAATGTGATACTCTGCTCTTCCTACTGAAAGAATATATACATATACATTGTTTTTTCAATCAGCTGCATCGATTTTGCTCTAATTAATTCAACATAGCGGTGAAAATGGGGTTTCAGTGTCCAAGACATTTACTAAATCAGGCATGTGAAGGAAGCAGACTGTAGAAAACTTAGGAAAGTCACTTGGCTTTAATGATTTTAAAACCGCCGTTGTATGTCCCCATAAATCAGATTAAGCTAACTCACATGCGCAATTATGTCGGATAAATGTTTTGACATCAGTGAAAATAAAGAAATAACGTATAGTTTTTTCATCCTGTCCATCAACAACAAGTCCTGCTGACTTGTCTGGGGGCAAAGTTGTTTTTCTCTTTTTTCGGCATGTCACTTGTTTTTCTACAATTGAGGGGCAAGTTGTCGGTAAAAGACTTTGCAACAAGTGCTCAAAAGTATGCTTATCAGCTAAGAGAACCTTTCTTCTTCTTTTTTTTTTTTTCTTTTTTTCTTACAGAATTTCTAAATTCTAAAGCAGGAGTAAACTGTACGTAATCATGCTGCCCAGCCGGGAAAAGATAAAAGGAATTTATGAATCAATTTTCTTGCCAGATGAATACACAACATCTATAATGAATTCATACAGTAACGAATACAAAATTTGGTATCTGTGAATGCTGTACAAAATAGAAGCATCATAGCGTTATACAATATTGACACAGAAGAAGTAAAAACAATTAGTATTTGCCATTGCTACCTACCTCCTTGGCCGAGATTGACTAGAGGCTTTTCCGCTTACTCCTGATAGCTGTTTTAGGTTGGTAAGAGCATCCTGAGCAAGCCTCTTTGCTTTAGCATTCCCATGCTTAAAGGCTTCTACCAAAGCCCTAACCAGTGCTTGATTGAGTGAGTACTTATGGGCAGGGCCATCCACTCTCAATGCCCTCTCTATGATCCAAAGTGCCCTCTCTTGAAGCACCCCAGGACGAAGTTCTGTAAAAAGTTCAATGACAGATGCAATAACATCATGCTTTTCGAGCTCATCAACAGCTCTTTTGTAACCATTAGAAGCATCTAACACAAGAGTTGAAAGAGCCTCAATTGCAGCAATTTGAACATTCATATCCTCATCACGGAGAAGGTAAACCAAGGGTCTGATGCAATTGGAATTTAGTAAGCACAGCTGACTATTGTTTTCACATGGAGCATTGTGTATGGGACAAGTGGAAGGTTCTGGAGAAGCCCTCCAAAACAAGAACGTCAAAGAAGCACAGAAGCCTTGGGGAGGTAATGGTTCTGAGTCTGCTGGTGCAAGTAACCTTCCAGCTTCAGACAAGTTCTTCAATCCAACAGCAGCCAGCTGTTTCACTCTAGGTTTTGCAGCAAAACTGAGCTGCTCACAGAAAATGGTCATGAGTTGATACTCCCTGACCACACCAAAAGTCTCTTGATCAAGGCTCGTTGTAAAGTGGAGTAATAGGCCTAGAAGTCCTTCTGCCATGCTTGATGTAGGTCGGGATGTTCTTCCATTAGAGAC